CCTGACCTTCCCTCCGCTATACCCACCAGCCAATCAGAGTGATATGCAAATTAACCCAACAAAGATAGCGGTTAATTTGCATACACAGGCTGAAGACTGAAGACAGAGTAGAATGAAGCTAAGAGCTGCAGAAGGGAGCAAAGTGGCGGAGGAGGGAGCGGAGCCAAGGCAGCGGAGATGGGAGGGCGCGAGGCAGCAGAGACAGGAGGGAGTAAGGCAGCGCTCCCTTCAAAGCTGCGGGCGGCATTGGACTGTGGGTTTTGGCCAGATCCGTGCAGGCCACCCAGACAGACTCCATCTGTGCACAAATTCATGCACCGGGCCTCTAGTCTACACTATATAACATGGAATGAACCTTGAGGACATTATGCTAAGTGAAATAAGTCCATTATAAAAATATAAATAATATATAGTTCCACTTAGAGATTTATAGTCAAAATCATAAGAGACAGAAGTAGAATAGTAGTTGCCAAGACCTGGGAGAAGAGGGAAATGGGGAGTTATTGTTTAACACGTACAGAGTTTCAGTTTTACAAGGTGAAAAGAGTTACGGTGATGGATGGTGGTGATGGTTACACATAATGTGAATGTATTTAATGTCACTGAACTGTACATTTTATTTATTTATTTATTTTTTTAAAATATATTTTATTGATTTTTCACAGAGAGAAAGGGAGAGAGATAGAGAGTTAGAAACATCGATGAGAGAGAAACATCGATCAGGTGCCTCCTGCACATCTCCTACTGGGGGTGTGCCCGCAACCCAGGTACATGCCCTTGGCCGGAATCGAACCTGGGACCTTTCAGTCCGCAAGCCGGCGCTCCATCCACTGAGCCAAACCGGCTTCGGCTGAACTGTACATTTTAGAATGACTAACATGGTAAATGTTATATTACATGTGTTTTACCACAATTAAAAAGAAAACTGGTTGTACTTTATGGTAAGCAAACATTATTAACAACAGGCCAATATATTAATACAAATATTTCCCCCTTTTTTGTTTTGTTACTGATGGTATAAATCATGGTCCTCAAACTTTAGCATGCATCAGAATAATCTGGTGATGATTGTTAAAATACAGATTACTTGGCCCCATTCCCAGAGCTTCTGAAAGTTTGCATTATTAACCCCTAGAGTGCCGGGGAGCGTGATCGCGCTCCTCCTTTCTTTCGCCAAAAGCACCAGGAGCACTATCACAGCTTCGAAATGGCGTCCAGTTCTAAGTCTGCTTTTATTAGTGATGATGATATTGCTAACTATGTCAATGTAGTAAAGGTTTCTTTAAGTTTTTGAATATGAAACTTCATTTATTTGCGATTCATAATTTTTTTCCTAAACTACTGTAAAATCAGCAAAAATGCCTTGGCAATTTTAGCATAGTTCCTAGGATATTGGTTGGCACTCAAAGGGTTAACAAGTTCCCAGTTGATGTTAATGTTACTAGTCTAAGAACACTCTGAGAACTACTGGTATAAATGTGTGTGTTGAAATTAAAGAGAAAAATCTGGAGATTGATTTCTTATGTGAATGTCTTACGTAACTACAGAACATTTATCAAAACTAAGGAATTAACGAGGTACAATATAAAAAACTTAAGTTTTCCCACTTTTCCTACTAATGCCCCTTTTCTGTTTAGGATCCAACCCAAGGTCCCACATTGCATTCAGTTGTCATATCTCCTTAACCTCCTCTAATCGGTTACAATTTCTCATCTTTCATGACTCTGTCACATCTGAAGAATACTGATTAATTAATCTATGGAACATCCCTCAGTTAAGGTCTCATGTTTTCTCATGATCAGATTGAGGTTATACATTACTAGGAAGGATAGCACAGAGGTGATGTGCCTATCTCAATGTATCAAGTCAGGAGAGATATTGAATATTTCTAGTGGTGTTAGCCTTGATCACTTGCCCAAGATTGTGTCTGCCAAGATTCCCAATTGTAAGCTTATTTTTTTCTTCTTTCAGAAATTACTAAATATTGGGGGAAATACTTTGAGACTATACAAATATTATTTTCTGCTTCAGCTTTGCTCACTAATTTTAGCATCCATTGCTAGATCTTACACCTATGGTGATTTTTACTGTGGTGTTCTATTGGTAATTTTTAAATTTCTCCATTTCCTTCTACATTTATTAAGTGGAATTTTTCTGTAAGGAAGACCTATGACTTCTTGGCCAATTTACTTACATATTTATTCATTTATTTACATCAGCAATGGTTGCATAGGTATTTTAAATAATTCATTTTTGGTCAATTATCATTCTTTGGAAAGAGAATAGGTAGACAAAAATAAAATATAAAAAACAGGAAAAATGTTATAAAATTGGTTTCCAGTTAAACAAGTTAAATTTTTAAAAAGGTATCCACTTAACTGTTGTATTCTTAAATTACTTAATTTGAAATTATTTCAAAACATATTTTAAAAGAATCAACTGGATCATTTGACATTAATGTATAGGACCTCTGGTACATTTATATTTTGGGATCAGGGTTCAGTACTTCTTTTGCAACTATTAATAACACAAACATTTACTATTTCTATACAGACAACATATAATATTTTAAAACTAAACTGTTTTAAAAAGACATTTATGCAATAATTGGTATATACTGAATAAAATAAAACTTTAAGCCAAAAAATTCTGGCTCCAACAATGGTAGAAATGTTTGTTTAAATTAACCCTCTTTATACAATAATTATAAACCATAGAAAAATATTTTAAAATAACTACATTAAAGGCAGGAGGAGGTTGACCTAAAGTAGGCAGAAACTGGGGGGAGGAGTGGACTGACCTTGAAAGAGGATAATCACTCTGGTGAGATCCATGTTTATGTGCTTTTCCCTAAGGGTACTACTACTCATGAGTCCACTTGGTGCAGGGTGACTAAAATTCAACTAGAAAGCCACAGTCTATTGGCTTGAGATGTCAGAGGGTAGAGTTCAGGGCTACCACAGTGGCTGGAAAATGAGAAGAGAAATCATAAAAAATAGAAAGAGCCATGGGCAGGGAAGAAGCATCAAAACATGCATACAAGTTCTCCTCAAATCCATGGCTAACCCCAAGCTACAGACATGAGTGGGAGACTCCAAGCATTCCAATGGAAAGTAACAGCTGGAAGACTAAAAGATCTGAGCAGAGATTCTAGCTGCCCCTGAGAGGAGACAGAGTTTATAATTTGATTTCTACTCAGTTAGAGGGGCTTAAAGAGAACCTCAAACTTTCCACTGAAAACTCAGAAAACCCCCGCACTGAGACTAAAGAATAAATCTTAGGACTAAGGGCAAAATCAAAACACATCTGCCCCTAATGGACACAAAATCACTCTATGAAGTTGCAATTATCAGCCAGGAAGTTAATCAGAGGGAGATAAAAGAATCCATAGTCTCTGCTACGTACCATTTATAATGCCCATTATATAATAAAAAAAACTTCTATATATGAGAAGAAGCAGATAAATGGGACCCATAGTCAAGGGAAAAAGGAACAAACAGAATATGACCATGAGAGGACCCAGTTGTAGAAATTAGTACATAAAGGCTCTACAGAAGCTATAATAAATACGTTCAACAACTTAAATGAGAAATATGATTACAATGGAAATTTGAGATGAAAATTTTCACCAGAAAAATTAAAACCTGAAACGAACCAAACAGAAATTCTATAATTGAAAAGTACATTATCTAAAATTAAAAATTTACTGGATGAGTTTAAAAGCAGACTGGAGATGAAGAAGAAAAGGTCAATGAAATTAAAGACTGATCAACTGAAATAAT